ACGGTAGATTTTTCATCCATTATTAAGGACCCTGTCGTTGATTCATGTTATCGCCTCTACTTAACTCTTGTTTAGGAGAAACAACCTTGAGTACGAGAAAGCATGTGACAAGAATCCAGGATGTAGAATAGCGGTGGTCTAAGGTAGATGTTACTAGAACTGCACTGCATAGGAGTTGATCAAAGGAATATTGTCTATATGCTAATTTGAAAGCTGCAAGCTTTGCGGCTCTGTTTGCTGACTGGGACCTTCACCTACCTAAGAAGGTGCAAAGTTTGGTTGTATTTCAGCAGAATTTTTGGCTTCATTTGATATGTGAAATAACAGCAGCTTTGAAATTTTACCCTTTCAAATTTTTAACCAGTACTTCGCCAAATTATTCCTCCATGATTGAAAATGTAATCGTCGAGATAAGTATGAAAATCTATACAAGTATACAACCTAAATAACCAACATCAGCTATAAGATCAATTGTCCTGGAGAAAAATAAGAAAATGGAAGATTAGCTAAATTGGCCAAGAACATGTATTTTTTTTTTTTTTGAATAGTAAGGACATGTACTTCATATGAGGTAAAACTTCTTTGAAGGCAAAGAAAAGGTAATATTGCAAATCTTAAAACAAACAAACGTGTGTATGTATGATCGATACATCAGATAAGATAATCTAAAGACAGAAACTGTAAATGTGCATGTACCCAGTGTATGCTATGAAGATACTGGCCTGAAGGCTGTTAGCTAATAACTAATAATGCACTTCGCACTAGAAAAAGAAATTGACAGCTTCACAATATAATTTTTTTTTTTTAAAAAAAGAAAATAAAATATAAACCCAATTCAATGAAGCAACTAATCAGAAACACTGATTGGTTGCTTATCCATTTGTTGTTGCATGATATAGTGTGTCCATATTAATGTAAAGTTCACAGTTGCTCCACAACAGATTCTAGCAACATCTGTTTCTAACTATTAATAAGTGCCTTCTTTCAAGTGCATGCTTAATCTACTGGAATCTCTACATCCATCTTCATGTCCGAATTTGCAAAAATCTGAGTATGACCAGAAAATTCTGTCAGGTTTGGATAAAGAACTATGCAAAGAGGTTTAAGAGGCACAATCACACAGAATTCAATAGCAAATAGCTCGTGAAATCACTGAAGACAGTCCATATGATTCAAAGAAACACGAGCTCCAGAAATCTATACAAATGTTTTTACAAATATACTCACCTAAATCAGCATAAAGTAACTCAAAAATATATTATAAAGTGGTATCAAAAGCTGCTCACAAGTGACAACAAATACAAAAACTTCCAAGTCATCAGCACAAACATTAATATTAATACTACATATAAACAGTAACACTCAAATTCCAATTATTCTATATTTCCTTCCAAGCAATTAATTTGTAGCTCCCACCTATTTGCATTTCACATGAGCAAACACAGGCAGATACTATTACAGGGAAATATATCAACTTTGCATTGTTCGGTGTTTGGAATGTTCAGCACTATCCAAGACAAACACTAGGTGTCAAAGAGGAAGTTGTACTTCCCAGAACTTCCCAACTCAAGAAAACAGAGGATGCATATTTAGAATGCTTTTTGTCAAGTTTCAGAGTTCATATTCAGCAGTTATCAGTAGAACTTATCATGTACAGAAAAGGATCAAACATAATTACTTAAAAAAAATCTTCATTTGTTATCTCTTGAAAAGATTATCCAATACAAAATATCTTTGAAAAGAAGCTTCCTACTTTTAGAGGTTAAAGCTGCCCTAAAAGAATTGATGCCTACAATATCAAGGATGATAGATTGGCAACATAGCACAAACTTAAAACAGCATGGGGCTAACTAGCTAAATCATGGTAAGAAAGAACATAACAAAGGTAGGCCTATACATTATGAGAAGACTAATTTTTATAGTTTAATCAGCACAAAATTCCGTAAATAGCAAGCCGTCAAACAGTTTTGTATGGTTTCTTTTTTTTTTCTTTTTTTTTGGCACTCTATTTTTGACAATATAAAACAGAAGATCATGGAGGCTGTCACGCATAACTCTAGATGTTTCCATATACCAAAAATTTTAAAAATGATTATCTGATAAGCAACTCCTAAAATTTCTGATCACCTTGAAGCACATTGGAAATAAGATATCAATTCACGAGTTATTATGATATGATGTGGAATTGGGGATACATGAAACATAATATAGAGGCAACTTTGAGATGAGAAACAGCAATAAAGCTGAACTAACAAATCGTTGTCTAAGGTTTATATTTTTGAATGATACCTTCACAAAATCATCCAGCATCAAATAAGACTCCCTTGTGTAGCCAGCTTCCTGCAACAATTGCGTCAACACCGCCTATGGCACATAATACAAACAATTAGAGACTGACTGATGCTGCACTTTATATATTCCACTTACACAAGCATAGCAAAGCCCACATACACGAAGCTTATACAAAGGGATAAAATCATAAAATAGAGTCCAAGAGATTATCTTTTTGATGAAGAGTCCAAGAGATTATCAGCCTATATGCTATATAAGAAAGTTTTACATTATAAGAGTGACCATTAATGATGCAACAAATAGTTTTTTTTTCATCCCAAAATATTATCACAGCTGGTGTTACAAAAACCTTCGCAGTTTTTGAAAGAATAACACACTTTTCATGTTTGAGTCCTGTTACACACACACACAAAAAAAAAAAACCCATGTATATTCAATACTTTACGAAAATTTGAAAACTGCAATACGTAACAACAGCATATTGTGGTTTAATAAATATTTACATCTACAGAAATTTGACCGTACACAGTACACTATGAACACATCAGATGGACATCAATTCTGGCACAAAAGGCCATACACACACAGCTCAATTCTGGCACAAAAGGCCATACACAAACAGCTCATTTAACATTGACAATGTCAAAGATGGCACCAAGTAATGCCTAAGTAAAAAATGAGGCTAACAATAGGCAGAAGTAATGTCGGTATGGCCATATCAATCAAATGAAGCAGAAACTGCTCTAATTTCTCTTTAGTCGCATATTAGGCAAGAGATGAGGATTAACGCCCATGCTAAAATTAAAGAACCACCCCCCTCCCCAAATTGCCCCTTTTCCTAATTTCATTGTTGTGATGGATCATGAAGCAAAGCGATAATTGGTATTTGGCACCTTGAAATTTAAGAGTTGAAGGGAAAACTTTTAGGTGCAGAGAAAGGGCAAAAATTAATGCTGAAATGATTATTGCGCCTAAATTTTGGGGCCACAAACTGGACAAAACCAAGCAAAATAAAGCATTTTAGAAAGCAGGTTTTGTACAAAATGACTTCTGAAGTCATTAAATTCTCATGGATGATCCAAAAAGATGGAAAAGCACAACAATGTTAATATAATATTTTGTCTAGATCAATGACGTCTTCCTTGTCCTTATTTAATTAAATCAAAAGCGTTACTATTGAGCAATCTATCAACTAAATCAAATGACATAATATAAACATGTTCTACTTTTATTTGTTACAAAGCAACAAACAACCTATTCTTTACCCATCTCAGATAAAGTCCTTCCGCCATTACAGACATAAGGTAACATTATGAATTCTTTATTTACAAGATAATATTTTTCCTATATTCTGGTATACTTAGTGCTTGCTTGACATCTTATCACTATATTGAGACTTGAGAGAAGGGAAGGAAGGGGAGTTGTTACCCAGCTCAACCAATGTCATTCATCAGTGACTTTTTAAATATTTTTGTTGAACTAGAATGGTCATCGTGCAATGGAAAAGTAACTGGTAAAGAATAAAACAGAAAAAAAAAAGTTATGTTAAATTAAGCCAACTATCTTTAGTAGTTTTCACCATTGGAAATTTTATACACGTCATGGCATTTGTATCAAACCACATGAACTATGTATAAAAAGCAAAGAATGAATGTAGTTGTAAAACTGCCCATACCTCTCTTTGCTCAGCAGTCATGAATGACCCGGTCATATCACTGAGCACTTCTATAATGTCATTGAAAGTCACCTTCCCATTGCCATCCGAGTCATAAACCCTAAAAATAACTGCAAAAGAGATAAGAGAATTTATTTACTATAGCTACTCACTGAAATTTGGAGCTTACACAGGTGTCATTTAACAAATTGTTATGTTGAAAGGGGCATTAATACAAGTACCACAGAAGAGTTAATAATCATTCCTTTAAAGGATTTAAAGGAGAAGAGGGAGAGAGAATCTACAAAATAATCACACATTAAGATAAGGTGATAGTCACTGATTAACTCAATGACTGATAATCTAACCAGATTCTCAAATACTTAACTACACATCTATAAACAAAAAGGATTTATCTTTCTTTTTACTACTTTTCTTTTACTTCCTCAGTACATTTTAATTACATCATTTAAGGTCTACAACAACTTATTTCAAAATTTAAGGTCTACTAACGTGCCACAAATTCTTGACCTCACAGAGGCAAAGTAAATAGAAGCTGGTTCCAGGAAGCAATAATGTTAATTAAGTCTTTGGCTCTTAGCTCTTAAAGATTTATTGTCTAAAAATTTATACAAAGGGTGCCAAATTGTCACCTCAGCCATGGGTGGAAACCATGGTATTCACTTGGTGTCATTCTAATTATGTATAATATCTTAACGATGAAAATCACTAGTCAACTTAGAAAACCCCTATGATATGTTGGCCCCACAAAATAAAATCCTTCTTATTAGAAAACAATATTTCAATCCATATGCAATCCTAAAGTAAACAAAAACAAGAAGGACACAGTCATACAGCCCATCTGGTTTTTAAAATTAACTCAAAAAAACAGGATAGGTTGTTCTGCTAGCCATAATGTTGACCGGACCTTATTCCACTTACAAAGTTTGAGATATTACTAAAGCAGCAGAACAATCAAAATTATGAGGTAGCACTCTTGCCTAGAAGATGAAGACAGCAACTAATTGAGATAACCATTAGCAATCCCCGATAAACATAAATCTATCAGATCAAAATCGAAAACTTACGGGTAGCTTTCTGCTCAATGCTTGCTTTGGCACTAAATGCAGATAAGAATGCAACAAAATCCTTAAAATTTAAACCATCAACCATCTTCAGCAACCTCTGCATAAAGACACACCACGAATTCATAACATCAATTTCGCGAAAAAGTCCTAATCAACAGTTAATTCATAACAGGCAACACGAGTATGATCTCAAAATCTACACACTCAATACCTGAGCTAAAGGGTTCATTGCAAACTCCGGCACAGACATAAATTCATCAGATGAAATAAAACCTTTGGCAGTCCGATCAAGTTGACAAAATCTTTGATACAAAGAAACTATCTCTTGCTGATTGACTATATTAAAACAATAGCATATATCATATTTCATTTAATCATGACAAAATTTAGCATTCTACAAAATATAAGAGAAAATTAAAATAAACCCCATACACAATTTATTGCAGTGTTCTTGAACTTCTTCAATATCATATTGGGTAAGCATTGATGGAGCATTACCCATTTGCTTCCTTCTCAATCTGTGATGATTAATCAAGCAAAAAAATAAAAATTAAAAACAACCCACTAATTACCATCGAAAAATTCACAAAAAAATTCTAGGAAAATAAAAAATTAAGCACGCCCACTAAATTATAACAATCAAATTGATGCATTGAAACTTGAAAAGCACCCTTCAATTGAAACCCATAAAATGAAAATCGAGATTTACCAAAACAGCAATTCCTTCAGTGATATGACTGGTTCATTCATGACTGCTGAGCAAAGAGAGGTATGGGCAGTTTTACAACTACATTCTTTCTTTGCTTTTTATACAGAGTTCATGTGGTTTGATACAAATGCCATGACCTGTATAAAATTTCCAATGGTGAAAACTACTAAAGATAGTTGGCTTAATTTAACAGAACTTTTGTTTCTGTTTTACTCTTTACTGGTTACTTTTCCATTGCACGATAAATACCTATATTATACATAGCATATATAATTTTATTCTTTACCGTTTACTTACCTGTTTTTTTACCAGGCCACAATTATTTGATTCCCGATCCCTATAATATTTTTCTTCCTGCTTTACCATTAATTATTATCATTCTTTCATATATAAATCAAATAAAGTAATATATTAAATATTCCTTATAAACATATATTAAGGGAAACTTTCTATCCATTTTTGTTTTTTGACAAATCTTCTTATAAGATATATAATCTACTATTATATTTTTTTTCCCCTATATTACCATTGTCCCTCTTTATATACTTAGTATATATTTAATTAAAATATTATTTCAAATCTTTATTGTCTTTTATATTAAGAAAAACTAATTTACATGCAACAATGTAGGATCATCATCCATCAACCCAGGATCTCCACAATTTTCCTTCACTCTCAAAAACCCTTTATAAATACCCTTCAAACCCACTTTATCAAAAACACCTTATTAAAAACACAACTCCCTTTCTTTTACTCCACAAAAAAAAAAAAAAAAAATGGCAACAGATAAATGTAGCACAATTGTTGGATTTTTGGGCAAGTCCATTTGGGATGAGAGTGAGGATAGCATTAGCTGAAAAAGGAGTGAAATATGAGTACAATGAACAAGATTTGAAGAATAAGAGTAAATTACTACTTAAGATGAACCCGGTTCATAAAAAGATACTGGTTCTTGTTCATAATAATAAACCGGTTTGTGAGTCTCTTATAATTGTTGAATACATTGATGAAGTTTGGACTGATAAAGATACTTTGTTGCCTTCTGATCCTTATCGTAGGGCTCAAGCTCGTTTTTGGGCTGATTTTGTTGAGAAGAAGGTAACTCTTAAGAATTTTAACTTTTTATTTTTATTTTTATTAGCCCGTCTCTTGTCAAGCGGTCTGATAGAAGATTATTAATGTGTTTAAAATCAATAATTAAAGCATTTCGATTAAAAGTAGTTATGGTAATTTATAAGTGAGTATTTATTAATTCGAATGGAAAAAACAAGTAGGATATTACTAAGTCTACCTAATTATAAAATGGTGAGTTTGATTTTCACTACCACTACTCTAGCTAGTTGAAATAGGTTCATTTTGTCATAATTTATATGTTAAGTGAGATGAAGATGTATGTCCAACATTTGATCAAATGACTAACATTTGTACAAATATACGATACTGGGAGGGGAGTTTGGACCACTAAAGGCGAAGATCAAGAGGCAACGAATAAGGAATTCATTGAGCATTTGAAGGTATTGGAGCAAGAGTTAGGGAACAAATCTTACTTTGGAGGAGATGAATTTGGGTTTGTTGATGTTGTTTTCATCCCATTCTATAGTTGGTTTCACGCCTATGAAACATTGGCCAACTTCAAGATTGAAGAATCTTGCCAAAGATCATTGAATGGGCTAAGAGGTGCATGCAAAGGGAAAGTGTGGCTAAAGCTCTTCCTGACCAAAACAAGGTTTATGAGTTTATTTTGGAGTTAAAGTAGAGGTTGGCATTTAGAGAAGCTGCGTTTTTTATGCTGCATTGTATGGTTTGGTAAGAGTAATAATGTAAGGCGTATATTATCATAGGATTAATAATGTTATCTTATTGTATGGTTTGGTGAGAAGTTGGTTTTTTATGCTATGTTATTGTATGGCTTAGAAGTTTAGAATGATTTATTTGAAAACATAAAGCGTATATTATCGTATGAATAATAATCTTACTCGAGTGTTTCTAAGTCTAGTGTCTCTTGCTACTCCTATGAACCCTTTCTTTCAAAAAATTTGACGCAATTTTATATTCTCTCGTCCCATAATTAAGTGTCCGTTTTTAATATTTCACAAAAATTAAGAAAAGTGTAAAATCACGTGGGTAAGTAGTAATGAGAATAGTTACAAAGAATCAAATTGTATTATACGGAATATTTTACTCCGTATTTTTTAGTGAATACAATAATATAAAAACATACACTAAAGTAATAAAGACTAGCTCAACATATAAATTAAAATAAGTAATTAATATAATGACTAGTATAATACTATAGTATTTAACACTAACAATATATATTGATTAGATTGTCTAACAAGTAGGGCTAAGCAAAATTATCCGAAAATCCTAATCGAAAATTAAGGTACCCGTCTCAATAACCACAACAATTCGGGTACTCGATCCGATAATTTATTATCGGGTACGGTTATTGGGTTTCATTTTAAAATTAACGGTTATCCGATCCGATAAGCAATTTTTTTTTCCTACTTAAATCTATTTATCCAAAATCTAAACTCTTACTTTACATCGTAATCACTTCATAATTTAAATGATTAGTAATTATTAGGGGTGAACATGAGATAGGTTCCCGCACTGTTACACTATCGGTTTGGATACCCGATAACCAATAACACTAAAAATGATATCCATTACCTGAACTTCGGGTACCCGAATTTTAGGAACAGTTATCGAGTATCCAATATGATATCCAATAATGAAAATTTAGACTTTATAATATAGTTATTATGATATCATTCAACAATAATACCACATGATCATGACCAAATTACTAATAATTACTAGGGGTGAGAAAATTGGGTAACCGGTCAAAATTTTAGGACCCGGACCCGGACCCAGAATTGGTTGGGACGGGGTCCTAAATCCGGAACCGGAATTGGAATTTGTTAAACCAGGTCCTAAAATTTAGGACTTAGAATTGGAATCACCGGATACCGATTTCGGTTTCGGGTACCCACTTATGTATATAATGGGCGAATGGTATACATAAAACCTAACGATCAATCATCAACATCAAACAAAAAAAATCACAAAATACAAACCCAAAAAGAGTTGCAAATTTGTAAAAACAACAATTGAATTTAAATTGAAACAATCAGTTAAAATAAAATCTAATAACAAGTCATTAACATTAAAAAATCACAAAATACAAACCCTAAACAAGTTGCAAATGCTTAATAATAAAATTCACCAGGAAAATCCAGAACACAACAATTGTACATTGAAACAATCAAATCAAAATTAAAATAAAAAATGAAATAGCACTAACCGTGAAAAACTGATAGATCGAAATTCGTGAGGTTGTGTGATTTGATGAGAATGAAGAAGATTATCTCTCTCTAAAACGCGAAAGTTTGTGGAAAACTGGAAATTGTGGTGGGGGATAGCCTTATAAGGCGCAAGAAGGTTCTGGAGAATGCTGATTCGGACGTTATTTTTTTTATTTACTCCTATTTTTTATTCCGCTTCATAAAGGTGGTGCCGCTAATAGCAAATAATTGAGTTCGTATTATTTTACACACACGTTAATAGTTGGTATTATTTTAAGCCAATTTTTCTTAAAATAATCGAAAGTTGTGATTATTTTGAGCAAATGAGGCAAAGTATGAATTATTCTGAGCAATTTTTCCAAAAAATAAAAACTTTTTTTTTTTTTCATAAAATTGGATTCGCACTTAAACCCACCCTAAATACGCCCTTGGCTGCAGCCTTCCCTCTCTTTCTCCTCCATTGATGCATACTCTGAAATGCTCCATTGAAGCGGCTTCTGAGCTTTCTCCCCTCCATTGAAGTAGATTCTGAAACAAGGTACCTTCCTTTTAATTATCGAATATCTATTTCATATTCAATTGTTTAATTTCACACTTTCGTTAATTTAATTTTTCAGTATACTAAATTTAGGGTTCAGATGATTGAACTATTGTATATAATTACTCGAACAATTTAAGGTTTGCTAATTAAGTCAAATTTGGTTGCTAAATGTGTTGCAGTCCTCTGCCCATATACAGAAATGCCGCGAACAACCACAATAGAATGCCCAGGTTGCGCACCATTAAGAGCCCTAACTTTCGACGTACTTGGCCTTGTTAAAGGTACTAACTTTATTTTTAATTTATGCTTAATATTACAATACAATTTATTCATTTCATGGGTGTTTTTGTTTTGTTTTTTAATTTTTTTAATTTTTGTTGAATAATTTCCTTACAAAATTGTCGCCATTGTTGTTCAGTAATTGAAGCTCGGAGTAAGCTAGATGGAGTTCCTAATGTTGTAGAGAGGTGGGGTGACCCTAATTCCTCTAAATCTATCCTCGCCGCTTCTATCAATGACCGAAAATCCAACCCTGTATGTATGAGTTTTCTATTCCTATGTTTATATTTTTGCTTATGATCTTACTTTTTTGTGTGCGTGTTTTTGTGAAGTTAGTGTATTGTGTTGAGCTTGTTGTTTTGGTTTATGTACTGTGTTTGCTTAAGTCTAATTTTTTGTGTTATTGCCGGACAACGTCTCCTTAATGCGTTTGAGGACTGTATATTTGTTTCATTAGCTATATTTCTTGATGAAATGGAGTTTTAGCCTCACAGTGCATGTTTGGGAATGTAGTTTAACTATCCCTGTGTGGGTTTAGAGTGTGTTCTATTCACTTAATTTATATAAGTGGAAATAATGTGAACATGAACAGGGCTTCGCTGTAAGAGTATGAGTTCAAATTACATCATCAGTTTGACGATTAAATATGGAAGGATGGAGCTGTATTCCAGGGGTGTGTCGTGTCATATACTTTCTTGTTTGGTTTAACATGCTCGTATGCCTTAATTTCATAGGAAAAGTTGTTGATTTTGTACATATTATGCTACTGCATTGTATCTATTCAATTGAAAATCTTCTAAATATTGTTATTGATTGCTGCAGTTGCTAGCAGTTGCCAGGAAAAATGGTGCTGTAAGATGCTTGCTTCCCATGTCAACACCAATGTAAATGGTATCATGCGTATCCTGTTTTAAGCTCATAGTTTTTGCTGCGTTGTATACACGGTATTGTACTATTCAGATTGAAGTTTTGAGTCCGGTTACTGGAGAGTTGTGTTTTTCAATCTGCGATGATGGTGATGACACTTCTCCATTAGATGACTCGATTGCTAGATTGCATTTATTTAAAAAGCGGATGGTAGAGTCATCATCAAGGTAGGTCATTTTAACTCTCTTTGTATGACATCAGAAAATAAAAGTTTCTTTTTGGTTTTTAAATTTTGACCTGAGTTAGTAAAGGATACAATGGGGTCACTGTGGTGGTATTAAATTAATCTCTATATGTTTTATATGTAACTGTGTCGTGCACCTTGCTTTCTTGTACAACTAAAGGGAAAGCAAGCTTGAGGAGAATTGAAGATTTTGATTCACACACTAGTTCTGTCTCTTTTGCTACTCCGGAAACGTGGAGTGTGTGCTGTTCTGGTGAGATTTGCTGCTCCAAAGTACATGCTGATGAAGGGTACTCTATATATGTTTGGAGGGTAAGCCTTGTGTATTCAGAACTATATTTCTTAAGAAATTTAAAAATTAAGATCTTTTACTGTTTCATTTCATTTAAATAATGTTGATTTTGTGTTGAATGATATGCTTTAATTTCTGTTGTTATGTGTCTTTTTAGGAAAGGCATTGAAATTAACATGTGGGACCTGGAGAAGACTAGTAAGATTTGGAGTGCAAAATCTGTAAGCTAAATAATTTTACTAATTAATTCCTTCCTGAACTGCAATGTGACCTTGTTGTGTTTCACTTTTGTCAAGCAGACATTAAATTCTAATTATTGTTCTTATGCTTTTGCAGCCCCAAGCGAATAACCTTGGAATTTTTACGCCAACTTGCTTTACATCTTTGACCTTCCTAAGCAACGATGATCATCGCAAGGTTTTATTAACTTCCTTAGATTTTGGAGATCCTTATATAGCCAGTTTCCTATGAGTGGTGGGGGGGAGGGAGGCAGGTAAGGGCGATGTGGAATTTCCTATGTCTTTTTTCCCCTGACGTAGACATGTCTGAGCACATTTGTAATTACATAAGCTATAGATTGCAATCCGCACTATTTCTTCAAAAAAGGTTTTCTCTTTGTTAACTTAGGGTCTGAAATGTCTCGACATCTATTACTCTGGGTAAAGATGCGTGAGCAATGCTCCATATCCTTTCCTAAGATCATTCTGGGTGCATATTTGAGCAGATGGAGAGTATCTTTAGTAATTCCCATCTAGGGATGCAAGAACTTTTTCATAGACTCAACACACGATATGGGTGAAACTGTCTTTGCTTGTCTGAGTGTCACTTTCTGTCAGCCACTAGTGGTTTATTCTTGGCCATGGTTACTGCATTACTTCATGGATATTTTTATACACAATTATTTATTTAAAGTGTTTGTACCACTACCTATTCTCATTGGGGACCCTTCGGAACGTGACCCATCAAATCTCTGGGCATATTCAGGAATCTGCAAATCAAATCCACTTATTTTAGCCTTTTTTCAGAAGTTGATCTAAGTGTTAAATTTTCCTTTTTAAGATGGTTATTCAACTCAATAAGATATTTGCCTCTGGTTTCCTTATGTGATAGAAATTTTAATTTTTCTTTTAAACATGTTTTGATGTATTCGAAAAATAATACGGAGTAATAGATAATAAACTAGCCCAGTTTTTTGAATTTCCAACTGAGTAATTGTTAAAAACCCATCTTCCTTAGCCCACAAGGAAGTTAAATAAGGCATATTCACTAAAATGCTTCATTAGAAAGATGTAAACATTCCCTTCATCCATTTCCACATAAAGTACAAATAGCCATTAAAAAATTCTATTCTTTCTCTTCATTTTCTTTTTCTTTGTCATATTTGAGAGCTGTTATTTTTAATCACTGACTAAAGATACAATTATATTTTGAAGATTTTAGGGAAGCATAATAGCAAGTTTTATTTTTTAAGAAACTTCTCTTAATGTTGGTTTATCTCTTTTTTTAAGGACATAGTTGAGCTTTTATTCCTATTTGAATGTGCTTATGTTACTTTGTGATTCTTATACGTAGTTGGTCCAGGCTAAGTTGGCAATATCTAGTGCAAAATTGCTAATCCTGAATACAACAATCAATCAATCAAAGCCTTAAACCCATAAGTAGGGTCGGCTACATGAACCAAATTTAATTATTCCATGTAGTCATCGACATAAATCTTCCTCCTGCATCCCTTATGATCTAATGCTTCATCCTCATTCAAATCCATATACTTCACATCCTTCCTAATTTCTTCCAACCAAGTCATTTTCGGTCTCACTCTCCATCGTTTAAGCTCTCCATGTTCCAACTCTTCCACTCTTCGAACCGGTGCACCCTCGGGTCACCGTCTTACATGCCTAAACCAACGCAAACGATTTTCCCTTAGTGTGTCTGCAATGCCTGCCACCCTTACCCTTACTTTCTTGCAAATAACTTTATTTATGATTTTATCTCTTAGAGTGTTCCCACAACATCCACCTTAACATGCGCATTTCCGTAACCTCCATCTTTTTAATGTGCTCATTCTTAGAAGCCCAATACTAAGCAACACTGGTTTTATGGCAGTCCTGTAGAATTTCTGCTTCAACTGTAAGGGGATGCTTCGGTCACATAACATTCCAATGGCTGCTCTCAATTTAATCCACCACAACTTAATCCTGTGGGCCACCTCTTGATCAATGTCACCATTTTTCCTGCCTAGATACTTAAAACATTCACTCATGAAAGCGTCATACCAAATATTCAGTCTTACTCCGACTTAGCTTAAATCCTCTAGATTCCAACCTTTGCCTCCATTGCACCAACTTTGCGTTAACCCCACCTTTAGTTTCATCCACCAAAACGATATCATCTGCAAACAACATACACCATGGAACCTCATCTTGAATTGGTCTAGTTACACCATAAACACCTTTACACCTCTATTGATATACCATCAGGGCAACCGCCTTCTTAGGCTTCATCTTCCTCATTGCATTCTCCACCTCTACTCTCCTATTCCTCTGCACATACTCCGTGTTGATTTCTTCATCACTCACGGAGGTATCTCCTGCCAAAACTCCATTACTTCCATTAAACAATTCATCGAAGTACCCCTTCCACCTTTGATGTCCTCCTCTTGTACTAGGACAATTTAGTTCTTATCTTTGACACATTTTACCATGCCAATATCCTTCCTTGCCCTCTGTCTTCTCTTTGCCATTATAAATGATCTTTTCTCCCTCCTCGGAGTCAAGCTTTTCATAAACCTCATGATAAGCCTTTACTTTGGCTTGGTGAACAACTGCCTTTGCCTTACTCTTAGCCTCCTTATACGTTGCAAAGGTTTTGTCACTCCTACATTTTCCCAAGGCTTGATAGCATTCCCTTATTTGCTTAATTACTGCTTTCACATCGAAGTTCTTCCCCTTATTCCCCTAAGACCTCTTTGGCCACTCTTAGGAAACAGTTCTTCATTCGTAACCAAGTTATGTCTGGATCCTCCTTATTGTCCACCATCTTATCCTTGGCTCCTCTTGTCTTCCTTTTTTCTTCGCCTTTTCTTTCAAATGAATAGTCATAACCAGAAGCCGGTGTTGGGTGACCATACTCTCTCCTGGATGACCTTGTAGTTTAAGCAACTTTGTCTATCCGTGCTCCTTGTGAGCAGGAAGTCTATTTGCGTTGCATTTGCTCCGCTTCGGAAAATTATCAAGTTTGAATCCCGTTTCTTAAACCAAGTATTAGCTAAAACTAAATCATATGATTGGGCAAAATCCATAATACCTTCACCACTTACGTCCATCTACCCATACCCAAAGCCTCCATGAGCACCCTTGTAGCCATCTTGACTCACCCCAACATGAACACTCTTATGGTGGACATCCTGTACCACCTCGTCTAAATCGTCCCAAAATTGTCGCTTCTCTTCTGCATTTAACCAACTTGGGGAGCATAAGCACTAAGGATTCAGTTGGTTGGATCATTTGGAATGGATTGGAATGGAGTTAGAATCTATTCCAACAACTTTTTTGTTTGGTTGAGTTTTTTAGTAATGGAATTTAACACCCAAGGGGTTCTAATTCCCCCTCCCCCCCTACCTATGGAATTCCATACCAACCTCTCCCCCTAAGATTCACAATCCATTCTATTAATGAAGTATAGAATCCATTCCAACAATAAAACCAAACAACTTTAGACTAGTATGGGTTTTCGAATCCATACCTCTTTAGTATGAGATTCCATACCAATTCATTCCAATTTGATGAACCAAACACCCCCTAATTACATTCACAATCTCCTTGCCACATAGCAACTTCACCTTATCAACCTATAATTCTTCCGAAAGACCTCGATTACCTCCTTCAACAACCTCTCATCAAGAATCACACCAACTTCGTTCCTCGCTCCACCATTCCTAGTCTTATGGCTCGTTTCCTGTCTAACGTACCACACCTTATACCCCATAATCAAGCCTCGAGCTCTTTCTCTCGTCCACCTTGTCTCTTGGAGGCACATGATGTTTACCACATTTTTTTTTTTGGCATATGAAGTTTTTGTGAATATCCAAAAGGATATTATGATAAAAATATTATATAGCACAAAAACCAAACCACCCAAGCAATCTCATATAGCATTAGTTTAACATTTATTTTACTGTCTAGAAAGAGTGGAATACGAGACTCACTTGATAGAGAGCAATACTTATTATAAACACCAAGACATATCAACACTGAAAAATCATCCTACACAATAAGAAGCTGCCTATACATCAATGTATGGTACACCACCCTAATACATTCCCCATAGATATCTGGCCGATCCTTTCTTTGAGTGGTAATTCTTTGCTCATACCTGTGTATCTGAAATGCTATAAACATGTTCAACAAAAACAAAAATGCCATAGAGCTGGAAAATTGGAATCATCTTCTTGTAGAACTTAAGTGCAATATCAATCTTTTTGTCAAACACGAAAAGATCTCTGTTAAAC